TTGAGTCACTATCAGTACTCAAGCCTTACAGTCAGAGAAGAGAAGAGAAGAGAAGAGAAGAGAAACAAAATGAGGAAAAATGAGAAAGATAACAAATGAGTAAAGATGAGATTATACACAAACAGAGAAGAGAAACATAATGAGAAACAAATGAGAAAAGAAGAGAAAGATAAGGACAAATGAGACAAGATCAAAAAATGAGAGAAGAGACAAGGTGAGAAAAGAAACAAGGTGACGAGACAAGAGAAAGAGGAGAACAGGCTCAAAGAAGAGAAGACTTGATTATACAATAAAACATAAATGAATAAACTCTCAACAGAAGCAACATAATTAGTGCTGATTTATTCTCATTGTTGTGTTGAGCTTTATCTTCAAGCTTGATTAGTACCATGTGTTCCAGAGTGCAATTGTCAATACACACTGCTCAAATTTGAGAAAAACACTTTTCTAACAACCAGCCAAGAAATTCTGCTAGTCTGTGGATGAGAACACGTGAGAAATGATGTTCCCGATATAATGAGATCGCAGACATAACACCTAACCTACAAATCTGATTCCTGCACAGGTTCAGCCCACCTGCTGATCCGTGGCTCCGAACGCACATTTAACGGCACACTGGACCGGAAGCATGAGACAACATGGCCCACTTTCAACACACTTGGCATCGTATAAACCCACAACTTTCCTTCCTCTAACTGAATAATTAAATTCCCCAGATTAGCGTGCAGATATATTACAAAAGACACCCTGATTTGTGCCCTGTGGTGCCGTGCTATGACTAGAACCGCCTTTATAAGGGGATGTTGAATTTCAGTGAGCTGTAACTGTGCACTAAAGCAAGCAGCCGCATCGGCTCTGTCTAAAAACAGCGTTTGGACTGAGATTTATCACCATGTAGTATCAGCACCTCCATATTCCTCATGTTTGAACACGAATCCAGCTGCAGTGTACGGTGTGCTCACATAATAACACATATCACCTCTATCTGTGTGTGTGTGCTGTAATCTACCGCAGGGTCACAGGGCCAGGCATGGAAAGATCACTCTATCAGAGCTGCAGGTGCAGGTAATCTGCTCAAATGTGGCCTGAAATGAACTTGAATCTTTAAACACAAACGCACATGCGCACACAACTCTGGCTTTGAGCGGAGGAACCACAGCGAGGCTTACCGAAAACAGAGGCAGCTATCAGAACACTGCACATGTTCCAATCCTGTGGTAGAGTGTGTGTTTGTGTGTGTGTGTGTTTCTTCCCCTCACAGTCCTGTGAGATGGAGGGCTGATAAGCTTTATAACCATAAGCAGAATAACAAACCACTGAGAACAAAATGCCTGGTCTGGCTGAACTTCTTACAGTTTCCTTCAGTCAGCATGTACCAAGATCCCAGCGATCGAACAGAAAACACCGGTGAGAGGAAAGCAGGAATCATTTTGAGGAGTTTTTTGGTAAAATATTTTCAGATAAAGCCACAGTAAATGTAACCACTGTGCATCTCTGAGCAACACACGCTCAAATCAGTTGAACAAATCAGTTGAGGAAATAATTCAATGACTCACTCAAAAGAAAATACAGACATGTAAACGAATCAGCATTTTCGAACAAATTAGCTGAATGAATTATTCAATGACTCACTCATTAAGAGAGTCACTCTATTCATTCCTCAATAAATCAGTGCTTTGAATGAATCAGTTGAGTGAATGATTCAATGACTCACTCAAAAAGAGTCACTTGATTAATTACAGAATAAACCAGTGTTTTGAATTAATTGGTTGAGTGAATGATTCAATGCTTCACTCATAAAATAGTCACTTGATCCTCATGTTTGAACACGAATCCAGCTGCAGTGTACGGTGTGCTCACATAATAACACATATCACCTCTATCTGTGTGTGTGTGCTGTAATCTACCGCAGGGTCACAGGGCCAGGCATGGAAAGATCACTCTATCAGAGCTGCAGGTGCAGGTAATCTGCTCAAATGTGGCCTGAAATGAACTTGAATCTTTAAACACAAACGCACATGCGCACACAACTCTGGCTTTGAGCGGAGGAACCACAGCGAGGCTTACCGAAAACAGAGGCAGCTATCAGAACACTGCACATGTGTGTGTGTGTGTGTGTGTGTGTGTGTTTCTTCCCCTCACAGTCCTGTGAGATGGAGGGCTGATAAGCTTTATAACCATAAGCAGAATAACAAACCACTGAGAACAAAATGCCTGGTCTGGCTGAACTTCTTACAGTTTCCTTCAGTCAGCATGCACCAAGATTCCAGCGATCGAACAGAAAACACCAGTAGGGCAGGAAACATTTTGGAGTTTTTTGGTAAAATATATTTAAGCAATATCACATAAGCAAGACCGTTTGTTCTTAATATCAGCATAGATTCAGCCCTAGGCACACGATTACAGGTAATCACTGCAGTTAAGATTTTAAACCAACAAAGTACTTTTATGCAACAGTTCAATAAACTGAAAATTAATATTGAGTACTTAGATATTAAACACATTAATGGCAGTCTATTTTTGCACTGAAATAGTTTCAGATAAAGCCACAGCAAAATTAACCTCTGTACATCTATGAGCAATAACACCTACTGTTCTTTAATGAATCTGTTTTGAACAAATAAGATGGATTAATCATTCAATGACTCACTCATAAAAAGAGTTACTAGATTGATTCCTCAGTGAATCAGTGCTTTGAATGAATCAGTTAAGTGAACGATTAAATGACTCACTCAAAAAGAGTCACTTGATTAATTACAGAATAAACCAGTGTTTTGAATTAATTGGTTGAGTGAATGATTCAATGCTTCACTCATAAAATAGTCACTTGATTAATTTCTGAATGAATGAGCGTTTTGAATCAATCGGTTTAGTGAATGATTCAAAATACTCACTCATAAAAACAGTGGCTACATCTAAAATTGCATACTCTGTCAATAGTAGATACTGTCCCTACTATGTAGTAGGGATGTATGCATATTCAGATGCATCCAGTCACTTGATTTAGACATTAACAGTGTTGGGGAAAGTTACTTGAAGAGTTCAGATGCAAAAGCCTCTAAGTGCCGTTTGAAATTTTCTTCTAAAATGAGCATTTTTATCAGGCTCCTATGTGTAGGTTTAGTAATTTTTACTTTAATGGAAATGATTAGGTTCTTTTCTTTGCCATTAAAGTGAAATAACTGAACATAAGCATAGGAGCCTGAGAAAAATAAACATTTTAGAAAAAAATTTCAGACGGCACTAGAGGCTTTTGCATCTGAACTCTTCACTTTTTAAAAGTAATGCATTACAATATTGCATTACTCCCTAAAAAAGTAACTAATTACGTTAGTTACTTTTTATGGAAAGTAATGTGTTACGTTACTTTTGAATTACTTTTTAAATCTGGGCAGGGTTTGCTTGCTTTTCACACCAAAAGTGAAATGAATGTGTCAGGTTGAAGGAAATATAAATTCACGTCTGCACAGAAAAGGGCGCAGCTCAAGCAAATTGCATGAAGAATATGATGCAGGAGAAGAAAGTTCAACACTATTCAGCAATAGCAAAAATGAAACACAAATGTACCTATTAGTATGGTTGAATTGGATCATCAAAGGTCAGTAGCAAAGACATTGGTTAATAAAATGGTATTAAATACATACATGATATTTGTCTTATTTAACATATTTAATTATTGCAGGTTTGTATAATATTCAGAGTTTGCATTTTACTGTTTTTATTAATTTTGAGGAATATTGAATCTGTTTTTGGGCAGGTGAGATGAGTAAATACATGTTCATATTTAGTGTAGAACTACAGTAACATCATGCTCACACAGCACGCACAATGCCTCTGCACTTACTCCCGATTTCTCTCAACATGGAGACAGGAGAACTGTCAGTCAATACATGGGAAAACAAAGTAACTGGCATTACTAATTTGAAAAAGTAACTCAGATATTTCCTTCTAAATTAAATAGTAGTGTGTTACTACTTTACTAGTCACTTAAAAAAAGTAATCTGATTACATAACTCGTGTTACTTGTAATGCGTTACCCCAACACTACTCATTAATGAATCAGCATTTTGAACGAATTAGATTATTTTATTGATTTACTCATAAACATAGTCACTTGTTGCCACTTACTGGCGGCATAACAATGTTACCTGCAGAAAAAAATGTCACTGAAAAATCCCCCCCACAACTTATGTCCTATTATCTTCCCCTCCTTATCTGCCTCTTTCTCTATCTTTCTTAAAGTCAACATGAGACAGTAATCAAAACCCATTCTACTTCTGAAATGAGGCATATTTTCGTGTGGAAAACAGGATATTCATCTAGACTGGATGCTGTAAAGTCTCCATTTCTTATCAGAGTAAGAGCTGAGAGTTTGCAGGGGATTTGGGGGGGCATTTTAACATTGACATGAAGACATTAAGTTGTTTTGGAGTTGCATATTATAAATGTTTCTTCTTTGGGATAGCATGCGCTTATGAATCATTTGCAATAAGAGCAGGAATGTGTATTAAGAAAGTAAACAGCGTCAGTTTTGATTATATGTTGACTTTAATCAGATCTTCCCGCTGTGTTACTGTGTAGGTAACGGGGTAACGTCATTAAACCAGCAAATATTTGCCAAAGCTAACAGTGATTACACGAGGAAACTCAAAGTTATAAGGAAACTACCATGAAAAGCTCTTTGCATGACCCGCCTTACGCGAGCTCTAGTTAGTCAGACCACCTGCTGAATCTAACTTCAGCTCAATTCCTGTTTGTCATGTTCTCAGAATTATAATTATATGAGCACAACACTTAGCAAGAAACTGAGTGTGAGAGGAACCAAAATACTCAGTCGACAGTCAGCGTTTCTTTGATTTCACTTCTGCACAATTTCTAATCACAAAATGCATGCAACGAAATAACTGCAGCTGTAAATCTTCATTAAGTGATAGGACAATACTATGCTGTTTGAGAGAGAGCAAAAGAGCGAAAGAGCGAAAGAGAGAGTGTATTCTTACCTTCTAATACAGTGAGTTTAGCACTAGTGTTAATTTCTCCAACGCTGTTGGCAGCTGTGCACTCATAAATAGCCTCATCGCGATGTGTCCGTAATGGCTGGATCCGCAGCACAGAGCCTGAGCCATCATCAAACTCTATTACCTGACACACACAGACATACAGGTGATATAAGATATCTCCAGCATCAAAAATCAAGTGTTGTTCTTTAAATATACAATCAGACTGATCTGCATGCATAAACACATCGACACAGTCTATATGACACTGCAAAGTTACAGGTGTGAATTGGCGCTCTCTTCAAAACATAAAAAATGCATGAAAATAATCTGTAAAAATGCTAATTCTAATAATATATACCAGTTAAAGGAATAGTTCACCCAAAAATTTTATTAATTAATTAATTTGCTGAAAGTTACTGCATGGTTTGTATTATATACTATAATATATATAGTATAATATGCTTGTATAATATAGTGCACAAGTTGTATTAACTACTTTTATGGTGATTGTTTTTTCTTTTGAGGCTTGACAGTATAAATTACCATCCACTTTTCTTGAGTGGACAAAAACATTCTGGCTAACATCTCATTTTGTGTTTCATGGAAGATGATGTTTCATGGGGGTTGGCAAATGATGATAAAACTGTCATTTTTGGCAGTGTTACTTCTTGTTAACAAAATCATGACAGAAGTAGCAATTACCAGCCAAAGTGTCTTGAGTACCAAAAAGTGATAAAAAACCAGTCGGAAACAATCTCACTCAGTCTTATACGACAGTGAGGTTAAAGAGATCAGCTCCTGTACAGTATAAATGCACTGCATTGGGTGTGTGAGGCACCGAGTTAAAGTACGTGAGATGCCGGTGCTGTCAGAGCCCGTCTCGTTCACGCTCAATCAGCTCTGTTGACAGTGTGAGGAGGGTCGTCTCAGGGAGCCCTCATGCCTGGGTTGCCGTCAGCTTCTCTCTGTTTTTAGGTTGACTGCTAAATTGAGATCAACCTGCGCTCCCCTGCTGGAGCCCCCCACACTGTCTATACTGATGTTGAAAACAAGCGCAGCATTCCCTGGAATGAAATACTTCAGTTTCAGCTTATAAGCTTTCACAACTGAATAGCTTTAAAGGGGCCATGTTTTTGCCACAGTTCTATAACATACATTTTCTTCACCTTTATATATTTCGTTAAGGTTTCTTTCATCAAAACATTCACAATGTGGTTTTTAATGACCGTCTATACCTTAAAGATGAAAAATGTTATGACTGGCTAACCTTCACAATGTTGCTCATCAAGGCGGGCAAAATAGCTGAATATTTAATAGGTGCTGATGTGTAAATGACCTGTAATGTGCTCATAGTTAGCATCATAATTATGATTTCTGAGACACTTTTGCAACTTAGTTTTTAATAACAATTGCTTTAATAACAATTATTATTATTCTCCAACTTTGCCTCAGCGCCAGGCGCTATAGTCATATGAGCGCGGAAAAGGTTCAGGTGACAAGGGGGATTCAGTAGAACAACTGTGGACTGTGGTCAGATGGACGGAAGTTGCGATTGTCTTTTCTTCTCTACTGTGACGTACGTATATCCGAGTGAAACGGCATCTGAAATGAGAGGGCGGGACTTGATTTCGTCCTTCGGGAATTGATTGGATCGTTGGAAGCTGGGGTGTTGCTAACAAAATGGAGGCAGATCTGAATGCCAGTTTGCAGTTAGTGGTGGGGGATTTTTCTCCACGGAATTCAAAGCTGACACCCAAGCATGAATACATTTTTTATTTATTAAGGATGACGACGACGATCAACGGCACAAAACATGCCTAAACAGCGCGCGGAGAGAGACTGCCTGAATGACTGAGCGTGTCCTCCATCAGGTTAATTCATATTCATGAAAAAAATTAGTTTGAGATGTCCTAAGAGTAATGTTGTCGTAATATCCTAATATCTTTTCAATGTTTAGGGGTAACGTACTCCCTCATGACTGTTGACAGTGCTATAAAGTGAAGCATCAGCTTTAGCTTTTCCCCCTGTCGTTTATCCCAGCGTTTACAGCTG